GTGCCGACAACCTGAATTTTCTCCAAGGTAGGGAACGTGGGGTCAGCAGGGTCCATGTTGAGTCTTAGGTGGTCCTGGCAGTCTGTGCTTCTGCCTGCTGTCCACCACCTGGGTGGACCACAGCTTTCCACCCTGGGCATTGGGGTTGGGCAGGCTGGATTTGGCCCTCACAACTTCCTGTCCTTTAAGAAGGCATGTGGCCTGTGGGGTGCTTGGGGGACCACTATTCTCATCAGAATTAAAAAGGACAAATGCTACAATTATCTGGCTGCCTGTGTCTTTTTGCCAAGGTGTCAGAGCTGTTGAAGCTGTTCTGCTTTTGAACAGATATCCTGGGTGACGTTTGTCCCCATCTAGCCTCTGAGGTCTATGTAGGGTTCCCCTGCCTTGGTCCCACAGCACCTCTCCCAGCTTCTGGTCTTTCCCTTCTGCCCTGAGCTGCCTGCCTCCACTTTCCCTCTCTCTTGCTCCCCTCCCCTTCCTTACCCTCAGGCTCTCCCTAGTCTGCTCACCTGGCCAGCTCTGCCTGAGGCCTGGCTGACGCTCCCAGGCTGCACTTGGGACTGCCTTGTGTGGTTGTGATGATCCTAGGGACACGGATGCAACTGGGCCCAGCCACGTTTGAACCCTTTGAATCCTTGCTTGGGCCTGGAGTGTGTGGCAAGCTCCAATGCCTGCTTCCCAGGAGGGCAATACCCACCTTCCATCGAGAAGCCCCTGAGTCTGGGGCAGGGTGCTGTGAGGACCATTCTCACCACCTCTTTGGCTCACTGTGTCCGCAGAGAGCCTTTGCCTGCTGCAGTCCTACCAGGGGCACGGACAGGCGACGACCTTGGGCACCTTGCCACAGATGCAGAAGGACTAGCAGGCTGGGCCTGCTGAGCTCCATCCAGAGAAGTCCTTGGGTGCCCAGCTCTTGTTGTGAGCCAACAGGGGTCTCCAGTGGAGAGAGGGCCTTCCAAATTCAGTACAGTCTGGCTGCTTGGGTTCAGGCGGCCCTTAACAGGGCTCCTGTAGGGGGCATGCATGTGCAGGCACATGCATATTTGGAATTTTCTTCAAACTGATACTCGTTGGTGGCTCAGCAGTAAAGAATCCACCTGCAATGCCCAGAGCTGCAGGAGGTTCAGGTTCAATCCCTGGGTCAGGAAGCTTCCCTGGAGGTGGAAATGGCAACCCACTCCAGTATTCTTGCCTGGAGGATTTCATGGACAGAGGAGCCTGGCAGGCTACAGTTCATAGGGTCGCGAAGAGTCAGACAAAACTGAAGTGACTTAACGTGCATGCTGAATGCTCTTTAATTATTGATACTTGCCCACTGTACTTAGTGAGGGCGAGGCAGGGGTTTTGTGTGTATTAATGTGAAATGTGTGCTTCTTTTTTTGTCTTTAAATATTGACTCATCACACTAGCAGCCACTTAATGTGAATACGTCTGCATTTCTCTTTTCACCATGGGATGGCATTGATCGTGCACACTAAACGTGTGATCGATCCAGGTGCAAGTTGGGGTGACAGTCTCCATCAGAACAGCAGTGTCTTTGCTTCTGGCCTTCGGGCAAGAAAAATGCTTCTGATGTTTCTGTTGTTCTGATTTTTTTTATAATTTCTCAAATAATTTCTTAGGAGCCCTCAGAAAGGCTTAATGTTGGGATAAAATAAACGACCTGTTTTCAGTAAACAACGCTGACAGAATGGCAGCGAGCAGATGTGGTCTAGTGCTCTGCACACAGGATCTTGAACTGGGCAGTGGGTCCCTGGACCCTTAAGACAGGATTAGGGGCAGTTCCCCCCTGCATATGGTACACCCAATGGGCTGAATCTGAGGACTTCATTTCCACATGTCAGGTGGCCTTGTTAGGGTCATGGGCACAGACAGGCAGGGTGGTGATGCATCTCTCTGACGGGGGTTGCTGCTGGTATTTCCTATTAGGAGAGGGCAGGCTTGCCTGGGGTCACCCCACTGGGTGGCCCAAGACCTGGGTGGCTCTCCTAGGTGAGGGGCAGCCCTCAAGTGTGCCCAGCAGAATGGGGCCCACCTTCCTTGTCTCTCACTTTCGCTTTCAGTCCCGGGGCCTTCCTGCTCAACACAGCAAACAGCCAGACCCGTCCTGGCCCAGGTGAGACCTGTGCCCCCCAGGTGGTGGTGTTCTAAAGAGGGAGCTCCCAGGAGTGGGGTGGGGGTATCTGCATGCACAGTTCACATGGCTGTGACCTCTGGGTCTGTTTTCCCATCTGTCACAGAGGCCCCTGCTGTGGGCCTTCCAGAGCATGATGAGGCTTCAGCAATGTGTGGGACCAGCAGGTGGTGTTTGGGGGAGCCAGCCCCAGGAAGTAGGCCTGAGAAATGCCAACTGGGGGGGGGGGTTGTATTTTAAGGCGCTTTGGTTTCCTTCCCTTTGATTGACTTGAAACTCAACCCTTATGAGGCCTTTGGGTGGGGGTGGTCCCCGCTCTGCCCTTAGAGCCTACATTGGAGAAGCCCCCTTGGGCCTGCCATGGTACACCTGACTCCTGACCTGTTGAATGGGCCCTGTGTCACCTGACCTGCAGGGTCAGTGCTGGCACATAGAGGCCTTGCAGCAGAACCATTGCAGCCCTTCTCGTTTGTCCCTGGGTCCCTGGGCAGGCAGGGGTTCGCAGTGGGCTGTGGGTATGCATGACCTCTGATGGGACAGAGACAGACCCTTCAAGGGAGGTCGCCATCCTCAGCGTTTGTGAGCTCCAGGAGCTGCCAGTGAGGAGCAGCCTAGAGCCAGTGCCCAGTGTGGACATGCAGTCTGCACTGTTGATCTAAACTAATAACACAGCCAGCTATTTTACCAGCAAAATGGGTTTATTCAGGCACAACAAAGAATTATGGTTTGAGACATGCAGTCTCTGGTGAGCACAGGCCAGTCCAGGGAACAGAGGAGAGGACCATTCTTCTATGGAGGAAAAGGGAGAGTTGGGAGGAGTTGCTGTTAACAGAGCCCCTTGGAGGAAACTGGGAATTTGAAGTGTAGTGGCACTACCAGCAGGTCTCTGTCTTTCTACATTTACCTATGCTGGGTGTGATCATCTGAATGGAGTCACAGTTTATGGCCTTCTGTGTCTGGTTTCCTTTGCTCAGCACAATGCTTTTCAGGTTCATCTTTGTTGTAGTGTGTATCAGCACTTCGTTCCTTTTTAAGGCAGAATAGTACTTCGTTGTATGGCAGCGTTGCAATTTGTTTATCTGTTCATCAGTTAATGGACATATGGGTTGCTTCCATCTTTTGGTTCTTGCAACTACCGCTGCTGTGAATATTTGTGTACAAGGATTTGTTCGAGAAACTGTTCTTAGATCTTTTGGGTCTATACCTTGGAGTGGAATTGCTGGGTCATCTGATACTTTTATGTTTAACTTTTTGAGGAACCGCCATACTGTTTTTACATAGAAATTGTACCATTTAACATTCCTACCTGTGATATGTAAACCATTGTGAAAGTCAGTCAGTTGTGTCTGACTTTTTGTGACCCCGTGGACTGTAGCCTGCCATTGTCTTCTGTCCATGGAATTCTCCAGGCAAGAATACTGGAGTGGGTTGCTGTTCCCTTCTCCAGGGGATCTTCCTGACCCAGAGATTGAACCGGGGTCTCCTGCATTGCAGGCAGATTCTTTACTATCTGAGCCACTAGGAAAGCCCTGTGATAGGAGAGCGTTCTAATTTCTTTGCATCCTCACCAGTCCTTGCTCTTTTCCCATTTTCTTTTTTTTCAACTATAGCCATACTAGTGAATGTGCAGTTGTATCTCATGGTTTTGATTTGCATTTCAGTGGCATCCAGATGACTAACAATGTTGAGGATCTCTTCATGAACTTGTTGGCCGTTTGTATTTCCTTGGAGAAATTTCTATTTGGAACATTTGACCATTTTAAAATTGATATGTCTTTTTTGTTGTTGAGTTGTGAAGTTCTTTATTCATTTCAGTGATAGACCCTTATTAGGAACATGATTTGCAGATATTTTCTCCCATTCTGTACAGTGAAAAGCCTTTTCACTTTCTTGATGTCCTTTAATGCAGAAAAGTTCTAAATTTTAATGATGTCCAATTTATCTCTTTTTCCTTTTGTTGCTTGTACTTTTTTTTTTTTAACAACTTTTAGTTACTTTGTCTTTTATTCACAGTGTTTGGGCATATTAATTTTATCTTTTTTTTAATGCTATTTTTAAAGCAACAGTGGAGGTAAGAAAATATCTTTTACTCTTGAAAATATTGTTAGCATGGTCTTATTTAGTTGCTAAGTCATGTCTGATTGTTTGTGACCCCATGGGCATAGCCTGCTAGGTTTCTCTGTCCATGAGATTTCTCAGGCAAGAATCCTGGAGTGGACTGCCATTTCCTCCTCGTGTTGCTTATACTTTTGATGTCCTATCCGTGCCCAAATCCAAGGTCGTAAAGATTCACCCCTGTGTTTTCTTCTAAGAGTGTTATAGTTTTAGCTCTCATATTTAGATTGTTAATCCATTTTCAGTTAATTTTTGTGTGTGTGGTGTGAGGTAATTGTTCAGTTTTACCCTTCTGATATCTAGTTGTCCTAGCTCCCTGGTTCAGCTCCCTGGGGAAGGTGACTTACAGCAGTCCTCTTCATGGGGTCCGGGAGGGCCCTGCCCACGGCTGCAGACTCTATGCTGAAATGATGGGAGTGCCTGGGCTCTGAGACACCCCACCTCCTGCCTCCTGCCTCAGCCTCTCTGGACTCTGTGGTGACAGGTAGAGGTGGCTCTCTTGGAGGCAAGCCTAAAGCCTGGCCAGTCCCCTCTGCCTCTCCCAGTCACATGGTGAGGCCTTCCTTGACCCTCCCTCTCCATTTTGAGTCCCCCACCCCATCCCTGTGAGCTGCTGTCGCCACACATACTCCGCCCCAACTGCCCTCACACCACCTTCCCTTTCTCCTGAGGTGTTGCCGAGCTTTGCAGGGGAAGCACTTGAGGAGTTGCTGACTGCTGGTGATAATCTGTTTCTCCCCCGTTTCAGCTGTGTTGGCGTGGAAGAGGAGGAGGCCCCGGACATTGACATATACCACTGCCCAAACTGTGAGAAGACCCACGGCAAGTCCACCTGTAAGTACAGCCCCGTGCTGCTGCCCCTTGGATCTGACGGTGGGGCTGAGGTCTCTGCGTGACCTTGATCCCAACCCCAACTGGACCCTACCTTGCTGGAGTCAACTGCCCTGTGAAGCTGCAGCCAGGGGCCTCTGGTGCCTGGGGACCTCCTCCTGTCTCGTTTATTGCCCCTCATGGCCTTAGTGGGCTGGCTGCGGCCCTCCTGATCATCTCCTGCCTGCAGATGCAGCTAGGGCCCCTCATGGCCTTTAGAGAGCCCACCAGCCTCCAAAGGCCTGGACAAGGGTTGCAAACTCTAGCATTTGCAGTGACCAGGCAATTTGAGATGGGGACATAGACTGGGAGATGTCCAAGGGGCCATCCATCCCAACTCTGCCCAGCTCTGCCCAGCTGGCCGCTTCTTATCTATGTAGCCGTCTAGGAATGTGCATTATTGGGGACCTGTTCTTCCCGTCTCTAGCACTCCTTGCTTGGAATCTTAGGTGATCCCCTTTCTCTATCTTTTTTTCAGCAATGAAAAGCATTTTATTTCCTGTTGGTTCCACATTATTAATAAATAAGAGTACAGAGAGGACAACTAATAGTTTTTTTTTCTTAATTGAAGTATATGGCCAAGGAATTTTGTATTTTTGAAATGCAAAAGAATTCCCGTTCTCACACTACTATTTGTGCATCACAAAGACTTTATCACTCTCCCCTTCCATGTGGCCCTTTGGGGGTGTGGGGGAGGCCCAGTGGGTGCTCTCCAAGGCATGGGCTCATCCAGGGTGGCTCTGAAGGGCCCCACATCAGGGCTGGGGGGCAAGTTCCAAGGCCAGGTCCACATGGGAGAAGAACCATGATCTGCTGGGGCTGGAGCCCTGGAGCCCTAGCGGGGTAACCCTGTGGATCCAGTGGGCATAGAGGTGTGGAGTCCTGTGGATCCACTGGCGCGGGGTGAGCCCACCCCCAGCAGACCCTCAGCAGTCCTGTTCTGTAGGTTGAGGCCGGCCAAGGGAGCCCGTCTAGCCCTTTGGGAAGCTGGGTGAAGAGCGGTCTTGCCTCACCTTGACCTTTCTTGGGCCTCTCTTTTTGCCTAGCCTGTGCTCCATCATCACTGAGTGACCGTAGGAACTGTATTCATTTTGGCTCTTGTGCCCTGCTCTCCAGCACATTGTGGGCATGTGGTAAATGCATGAGAAGAAGACAGGAAGGCCTAGTGGCTTCTGAACTTCCCAGGCGTGAAGGTTCTCAAGTCCCTAACTTACCCTCACAACCCTAGAAGTTGACAGCACTGATCCTCACAATACGTCTGCCCTAAATTACCCCATTCTTCTGATAATGGCTTCACAGCAGACACAGGAGGATGCCTGTCGCCCCATGGCTTAGTCTGCATTTGTAACACCTTGTGAAACTCCAGGAAGGCTGGGAGGCTAGGGGAGATGAACAGGGTATGCACTCAGGTCTGCCTCTCATGGTCCTGGGAGTGGGGTCGGGGGCCATTAAGGGCTGGAGCTGGGAGACACCTCCCATATAGATCTGAGTGCCAGGGTAGGCACTACCCTGGGGTGTGCTCAGGGAGGGTGGGGGGCCAGGACACCTCTATAGCACTGTTCTAGATCAGCAGTGTGGGACTGCAGCCTGGGGGGACCTGGAAACCCCTCCCTGATTGTGTGTATTGCATGTGTGCATGCACATGTGCATGCATATGTGCTTTATAAATTCTGTGAATCAGACTCCCCTGATGGCCTGTGTGTTCAGCAGGGATGAAGGCACACCTTCTGCCAGTGCGCATTCCTACACTGCCCATCACCCTTCATTTTACATGTGTGTGCCCTGACCCGAGCCTGTCTGTGACAGACTGGTTGGTTTCTGCTGCGTGGGCTCCAGTCACACCTTCTGCAGGAAGGCCCCTTGATGACCCTGTGCCCCCTGGGAACCACCCAAGCCCACGCGCCTGCCTCGTTTCCCTGTCCTGGCCTGGGTGCGGTTTGTGGTGGGCACAGTGAGGTGAGGCTAGCAGGAAGAGGGCCAGGACAGGATGGAGTGGGGGATGGAGCACTAGGAATGGATGGAGACAGGGCTCCCAGAGCAAACTGGACCTCATGCTTTGCCTGTCTTTACGAGATCACAGGGTTCCCCTTCCATGCTACTGCCATCTGTCCCTTGGACTGATTTTGGTTTGTGACTTTCAGGCTCACAGGTTTACCCATGAAGGCTCATGGGAGGCAGGTGACATGACCCTTAAAGTGATTCTGAATCCTAGTGTTTCCTCTTGTTAGCTCCATGACTGCTTAAGAGGTTTTGTTGTTGTTCAGTTGCTCATTCGAATCTGACTCTTTGCGACCCCATAGACTGCAGCACGCCAGGTTTCCCTGTCCTTCACTGTCTCCCAGAGCTTGCTCAAACTCATGTCCATTGAGTGGGTGATGCCATCCAACCATCTATCTGTTGTCCTCTTCTCCTCCTGCCTTCGATCTTTCCGAGCATCAGGGTCTTTTCTAATGAGTTGGCTCTTCTCATCAGGTGGCCAAAGTATTGGAGCTTCGGCTTCAGCATCAGTCCTTCCAGTGAATATTCAGGATTGATTTCCTTTAGAATTTAAGGAAAATTTTAAGAGGTTACTTACTAATTTCTTACTTTCCTTCTCCCTGAGGCAAGCATCACTGTCACACCTTTAGGATGGGGCAAGCCATGCTTAGGAGGATGGGCTCGGCTGTGTTGCCGAATGTCTTAGGGATACCTATTGCCCCTGTAACCCAGGGGGATCCGCTGAGTCCCCGCCAGCTTCCATCCGTCCCTTGGGTACCTTGTCAGAGGGTGTCTTGGGCCACCCATAGGCAGGGAAGGCTCAGCCTCAGAGCTCAGGAGGGTCTTAGACCCTGGGGAGGGAAGGAGCCCACCAGTCAGGGCTGCAGAGGTGTTCAAGAGTAGCCCTGTGAGCTCAGACCTGCCTCACAGCTTTATCTTTGGCTGTTGTCCTAGCATACCTGCTCCAGCCACAGTATCAGGCATATTCCAGCCTCTACATGAGGTGCTTGAAGCTGCCCAGTCCCGAGTGAAGGCCTGGGAAGCCCAGATGGACCAAGACTGCCACTGGCTGCTGGTCAGCAGGGGCCCCAGGCCTGGCTCCTGGCAGGCAGAGGAGATGCTGCTTCTTTCTTCTGCTGCCCACTGCTGCATGCATGGGCCCCCTGCATGTCTTCTGTCTCTGGGCTGTATGCCCCCTCCAAGACTCGCTCACCCCCTGTGCCTCCTGGCACAGGGCCCTCCATACTCACGAGGAGCCCAGAAGGCCAGAACCAGCATTAAAGATGAGACGCAGAGACACCCAGTAACTTGCCTAGAGTCACACAGCTACAGGATAGGTGGGCAAGAAAGATTTGGACTCCTTTCTGGGTTTGGTGGGGCTTCTCTTGTGACTCAGCTGGTAAAGAATCTGCCTGAAATGTGGGAGACCTGGGTTTGATCCCTGGGTTGGGAAGATCCTCTGGAGAAGGGAAGGGCTACCCACTCCAGTATTCTTGCCTGGAGAATTCCATGGACTATAGTCCATGGTGTTGCAAAGAGTCAGACAGGACTGAGCGACTTTCACTTTCACTGGGTCTGGTGCTGCCACCAAAAGTTCTAGCTCCAGCCCCTCCTTTCTAGGACCTGGCCTGATTTCCATAATATGCATTTGCACTTTGGTCTGGGAGACCAAGCCTGATGTAAATATCACCTATTTTAGGAGACAGTCTCAAGGAACTCTGACTTGATGAGACAGGGAAGAGGTGGCAATTTGGAACAGAGGTCAGCTCAGCCACCCCACACCCAGTGCCATCCTCTTCCTGCTTTAGGCAGGTCCCACCCAGGAGCAGTCTTCAGCTCCCTTCATCCCCACAACCACTGAAATGCAGGCCGACTGCAGCCCCCACCAGATCCCTGTCTGTGAAAGATAGACACTCTAAGGGCCCGCCAGCTCTCCCTCACCTCCAGTCACATCTCTGCGTGAGGATCATGTTTAAAACCCTGCCAGGCAGCCCCCTAGGATGGGTCTCCATGCCTGGCCCATCTTCACTCACTGAGTTATCCATGGCTGCCCTGAATGGGGCGGAAGGTATCAAGGAAATAGCCTCCTTCCCTCTGGGAGCTCGAAGTCCAGTAGGAGCGTATGTTAGTGTGTGTGCATATTTGTCCTTATATTTGTATGTGTCCTAGTGTGCATGTGTGTGTCTTGGTCCAGTAAGGGCATGTGTGCTTGCATGTGGATGTGCATATGTGTACATGCGTGAGCATGTGTCGCAGCCCAGGAGGGACAGGTGTGCATTCTCATGTGTAAAAGTCCAAGATGTGTGTGTCCAGTGCCCTGGGAGCAGGTGTGGCAATAGGATACCCTGAGGATGGGCAGGCAGTGGTGGGCAGGGTGTGGGGAGGGCAGTGGTCATAAAAGACACCCTGAGGATGGGAAGGCAGTGGTGGGCAGGGTGTGGGGAGGGCAGTGGGCATAGAAGATACCCTGAGGATGGGCAGGCAGTGGTGGGCAGGACGTGGGGAGGGCAGTGGGCATAGAAGATACCCTGAGGATGGGCAGGCAGGGATGGGCAGGGCGTGGGGAGGGCAGTGGGCATAGAAGATGGGGCTGGCCTCCCCTGCCTGCGAGTTGTGGGCTGTCATGGCAGCAAAGATCCCAGTAGGGAAGAACAGTGGTCTGTCAATTTAAGGGCAAGTCTGAGGGTAAGACAGGTGAGAGGGGTCCTGAAAAATGAGCCTGGGTGGGAGCTTCTCAGGGGGCATCTCTGATGAGTTCTCAGCAGACTGAGTGCTGAGTGAGGTGGGGCCCTAGGAAGCCCCAGCTTTTGAGTGCCATTGTCTGAGTCAGCAGGATGGGGAGTATGGGGTAAGAGGTGAGGTGGGGGCTGTGACTCAGGATGTGAGAGGTGGGAGTTCCTGACCATGTGTCACCTTGGGGTCCTGAGAGGCTGGGGAGGCTGGGTGGGTGGGGGCCAGGGAATCCCAACTTGTTTGCCTCCGGGAGGTCTGAGTCTTGCAGCATTCATGGTGGCTGCCCTCCTGGCTGGGTCTCTGCAGGCATGGGGAGAGGAGGGGGTTGCAGGTGCTGACCTGCCTCCTGTTTTCCCCACAGTGAAGAAGAAGCGAACCTGGCATAAACATGGCCCCGGGCAGACGCCGGAAGTGAAACCCGTGCAGAACGGCAGCCAGCTCTTCATCAAGGAGCTGCGGAGCCGGACCTTTCCCAGGTGAGCAGGCCTTGTTCTCTCCAGCCTGAGGTCTGGATATGCACTCCGTACTGGGGCTCCAGGGCCATGGGCTTCCCTCCAGGGGAAGCAGCAAAGTCCCAGAAGCTCCAGGTGCTCCCAGCACGGGAGCTGATATCTCCCTTCTCAGCACCTCTGCGGATAGGTGATTGTGACCCTCTTCACAGCCCTGGAGGGAAGAGTCTTATCTCCCCCACCTGGTACGGCCCTTCCCACAGCACATTCCTGAGAGAGAGCCACTGTCCTCACTTTATGGACCAGGAGTGGGGGCTGGTATCCAGCCTGAGCCCACCCTTTGGATGTGGCGGGTCCTGGTGTCATATAGCCGTGGGCTTTCCTCCGTGCGCATGGCCTGCGGGGTGTCCCTGTTCTTCTTAGAGTGCCCCTCCCCCTGTACACCCTTGCCCCGTGTAAGGGCAGAGGGCAGGATCAGGGTCACGGGAAATCACTTCCGGTGGGGGGGCACCCTGACTGCGTGGATATGTGGTTGTACAGACAGCTGCTCTGAACCACCCTTGGCCCTTCACAGCTGGAAGACAGCTTCTGTTTGTCTGACAAAGTCTTTCCTTTTTTGAAGGATAATTTGATGGACACAGATTCCTAAGTTGGTGGGTTTTTTCTTTTAACATTTTAAACGACTCATTCCATTCTCTACTTGAGTGCATGGTTTCTGGTGAGAAATTCAGTGCAACTCTTTTCCTTGCTGCTCTGTGGATAAGGTATTTTCCCTCTCTGGCTTCTTTCTTATTTTCTTTTTTCCCATCTTTTTTGAGATATAATTCATATACTATACAATCCATCCATTTGAAGGGTAGAGTTCAGTGTATTCCCAGCTCTGGGCACCACCTTCAGTAAATTTTGGAGGGTTTCCATCACCTCAAAAATAAATTGATGATCCACATTCCTCCCAGAAGTCCTGCCACTAATCATGCTTTCTATCACTGTAGATTTGCCTGTTATGAACATTTCCTCTAAAAGAAATCATATAATATGTGGCCCTTGTGACTGGCTTATTTCACTTAGCATAATGTCCTCAAGGTTCATCCAGGGTGTAGCAAGAATCAGTGCTTCATTCCTTTTTTATGGCTGAGTAATATTCCTTTTGGATAGATCACACTTTGTTTATTCATTCATCAGCTGATAGAAATTTGAGTTATTTCTGATTTTTGACTACTGTGAAGAATTCTACCATAAATGTTCTTGTAAAATACTTTGTTTGGACATATTTTTCATTTTTTTAGGGGTTACTTAATATATAATTGTTTGAAGAATTGCCAGACTGTTTTCTTTTTTTTTAATTAATTAATTTTTAAAATGGAAGGATAATTGCTTTACAGAACTGTGTTGGTTCCTGCCAAACATCAACATGAATTAGCCATAGATATACGTATGCTCCCTCCCTCTTGAACCTCCCTCCTCCCTCCCTCCCCACCCCACCCCTCTAGGTGTTACAGAGCCCTGGTTTGAGTTCCCTGCATCATACAGCACATTCCCACACCACTTTCCCTTCCCATCAGCAGTGTCTGAGGGTTTCAGTTCGTGTCCTCACTAGAATTTGCTATTATCTGACTTTTTGAGTTGCTTCCCTTGCGGCTCAGCTGGTAAAGAATCTGCGTGCAATGTGGGGGACCTGGGTTCGATCCCTGGGTTGGGAAGATCCCCTGGAGAAGGAAAAGGCTCCCCATTCCAGTATTCTGGCCTGGCAAATTCCATGGACTGTATTGTCCATGGGATCACAAAGAGTTGAACACAACTGAGTGACTTTCACTTTCATGGTGATTCTGTCTGTCTATCCTTGCAGGTGTGAAGTGATCTCTCACTGTGGTTTTAATTTGAATTCCCCTGATGACTAGTGATGTTGAGTACCTTTTCATGTTCTTGTTGGCTATTTGTCATTTGCTCATTGAAAGTTGTTTTTTGTCTTTTTGAGTTGTAAGAGTTCTTTGTGTATTTTAGATACAGACTCCTTATTGGATATATGATGTACAAATCCTTTCTCCAATTTTGTGGGTTGTCTTTTCACTTTTTCGGTGTTTTTTGAAGCACAAAAGTTTTAAATTTTCATTAAGTCCAAGTTATTTTTTCTGTTGCTGCTTGTGTTTTTAGACAAAAACAAAAAGAAACTATTGCTAAATTTAAGGTCATGAAGATTTATGCCTATGTTTTCTTCTAAAAGTTTTGTAGTTTTAGCTCTTATATTTAGGACTTTAACTCATTTTGAGTTAATTTTTGTATATGGTATGAGGTAAGGGTCCAACTTCATGCTTTTGCATGTGTATATCCAGTTCTCCCAGTTATTAAAATAATTATTCATTTGCCATTGAATTGTCATGATACCCTTGATGAAAAGCAGTTAACCACAGATGTTTGGGTTTTTTCTGGACACTCAATTCTGTTCCACTGATCCATATGTCTCGTATTATGCCAATACCACACAATCTTGATTACTGTAGCTTTGTAGTGAATCTTGAAATTGGAAAGTACCCTCCAACTTGCTCTTCATAAAAAATATTTTGGTGATCTGTGTGCCTTGTATTTCCTTCAGTATTTTAAGTTCATCATGTCGTTTTCTGCAGAATAGTCAGGTGATATTAAGATAGGGATTGTGTGGAATCTGGAGATCAGTTTTCCATTATTTCTTGAATCACATTCCTTCCTTCAAGATTTGGTTTCCTCCTTGTTGAGTTATATCCTTTAGTAGTTCTTTCAAAAAAGCTCTATAAAAATATTCTCTATGTCTGAAAATATGTTTATTTCATCTTTATTTTTGCATGATTCTAATTTTCTAAAATGGATCTAAAATTCTGGTTATAAGTTATTTTCCTTTAACTCGAGAGATATTATAATATTTTGTTTCTTTTGACATTTCTTGTTACTGATATCAGCCTAGTTGCTGGAGTTTTTGTTTTGTTCCATTTTCATTTTTGGTGAATAATCTGTTTTTCTGTCTGGAAAATTTGAGATTTAAAAAAATTTTTTCATATACCATACATATAATGCAATGCTTCTAATATGTTGCTTTTATTTATCCTTCTCAGGACTCAGTAAGCACTTTTAATTTGAGGAATCATATTTTATCTACGTTCTGAAACATATTCTGTTCTCTGTTTTAATAGTACTTCTTCCCTATTCACTCTTACTTTTTCAGATCTTTTTTTTTCAATCAAATTCAATGTTGTTTAGCCAGCTACCATATAATGCATCTGCTGAGTTGTAAAAATTTCAATCATCATATTTTTCTTTTCTATAATTCCTATTTCTTTTCATTGTTGCCTGTTCTTTCCCCTCCTCCTCTGTTCTTTGCTTTATCTTCTCTTTATTCCTTTGAATGGATTTAATGTATTTGTCTTAAAATCCCCTTTATGATTATCCTATTATCTTCAGTTCTTGGGCTCTACTTCTCTGGGCAGAAGAGGCTGCTGGCTCTTCCTCTTGAGGGTTTGCCTTCTTGTGTGATGCGTGGTCTTCAGAGGGCAAGATTCCCCTGGCAGCCAGTCTGCCCTGGGTTCTGAGGTGTCCCCACACGATGGTTTCATATTGGCCTCTTGCTGGGTCCTCATGGGTTTTGTAGCTCCAGACCCAATCCACTGGGTATGGTGTGAATCCGGAACTCTCACTAGTGACTAGGAAAGAGCCTGGGATTCCAGCCCGTCAAGGGCAGCCTTATACCTCCTGCTGGCTTGTGGCTTCCACGGCTGACTCTGCTGTCCCAGTGCTCCCAGAGCTTCTCACCGCAGTTGCCCAGCACACTCCTCCTTCTTCCTCATCCTCCGCTCTCTCCTTCTGGTTTATCCCTAACACTCCGCCCAAACCCCAGAATCACTCTTCAGTCCTCGCTTTCACTGGCCCCTGTTAACATATGGCAGTGGTGTGGGCACGCCTCCTGGAGTCCTGTCCTCCGTGGAGACCGTGACACCATGCTCTGCTGGATGTCCTGCCCTCCTGTCTCCTCCCCTGCTCACGGCTCTTCCTGAGGGATTCTGGGACCTCTGCTTGCTCCCCACTCTCTGTTTCTCCAGTCTCATAGATTGTCGCTTGGCCAGCGGTTCCTCAGCTTCTTTCTCCAGCCCCTAGTCCTTCTGAGTTCCTGACCTGTCTGGATGTGCACATGCATCCACTGGCCAGTCCCAACAAGTGTGTCCCTACTCAGTTCTGGGTCTGCTCCATCCCCACTCCTGCCCATCCCCAGGCCTCAGTCAGCGGCCCCATCCCTGATCACAATGACCAGTCCCTCGGCTGCTCACCTTTGCCCACACATCATCTGATTCTTGAGTCCGCCACCCCCCTCTCACTGTCCCCTTCTGGTCCAGGCACCGCACGCTGAGCCTCCTCCTCCGTGGTCACCGGCCCCACCCTGGCCCCGCTGCTGTCCAGTGTATGTCTGCAGAGCCACCAGATGAACCTCTGACTGTCATTGCCCTGCTCACGCTGTCCAGTGGCTCCCTGGTGCTCTCAGCATGAGGTGGCCTGGCCCAACACTGACTTGGGTGCTTCCCTCTGCCCTCCTGCCCCAGCCACCCAGGTTCTTCTCATTCCTCACACTTGTCGCATTTTCCTCTTCCCAAGGCCTTTGCTAGTACATACTTTCTGCTCGGACCCTGCCCCTCTCACTCCCATTCCCCCAGGCTTCAACAGGCCCTGTCTGATCCTGCTTCCTGCCCTCTCTGCTGTAGCACTGCTCTCAGCTGTGCGTTAATGGCATTGCATGCTCGTCTGATGAAAACCCTTCTCCAGCATCAGCACACAGGGGTCTTTGCAGCTGGGCCCTGCAGGTCCCTGGTGCCCAGGGTGGCATCCAGCACACAGGAGACAGGAGAGCTGCTGACCACAGCACCCCAGCCCAGCCCTGGGTCCTGTGCTTTGCTTGTCCAGGGGGTAGGCTCTCTCTGAAAGGAGGTTTATCTCCATCAGCTGTGCCCATAGGATCTAACCCCTGTGCAGCAGTTTTACCTCTGAGTACTCAAGAAGAGTACTATTAAATGAGAGGCGAGTGGAGAGCAGGGAGGTCGAGGAGGGATCTTGCTCATACCTCTCAAGCCTCCCTCTGTCGTAAGAGGGACAGGTGTGGTGTGTCCCCATTCTCCACTCACCCTGGCCCTGGACTCCTGGACCTCAAGGGTCTTGTGATGAGTGTGTGTGGGACCCTGCCATGTCCACTCTGTGACCACTGAGTGAGGTACTGCCGCAGGTCCTCCTTCTGGGCCATGGGGGCGGGGGTGGTATGGCTCAAGCTCAGGCTCCATGTCTCCGGCCCTGAGGCCCTGTCCAGGCCTGTCATGGAGGCTGGGACCTGGGCTTGACGTGACCTCCGACTTGTACTTCCCTGCAGTGCAGAAGATGTGGTAGCCCGCGTGTCGGGCAGCCAGCTCACGCTGGGCTACATGGAAGAGCATGGCTTCACTGAGCCCATCCTTGTCCCCAAGAAAGATGGGCTGGGCCTGGCGGTCCCAGCACCCACCTTCTACGTCAGTGACGTCGAGAACTACGTGGGTAAGTGTCGTCTCCTGCGAGTGAGTTATGGGTTCCCTGAGCCAGGAGCCCCTGTGTACACTGTGAGCTGGTATGACTCTGGATCCCTCCCCATGCTCCATTGTGGATGCTCTTAGAACGAGACCCCCATGCCCCAGCAAATGACGTGTGACCCAGGCCTCCTCCCTTCTCCCTGCCCATACAATAGAGGCTGCATGGGATCCCCTGGCTTCTGCCAGCTACAGATTTCGTTATTGTTGGGTGCCAATGACAGTCGTGCCTGGGAGGGCCTCCACTGTGTGGTCCTCTGCCCCTGAGGTTTGGGCCGTGTCCTCCCAGCTGACCTCCCTTGTTTGCCCCAGACGTGCCTTCCCGTGGCCCCAGGGCTTCCTGTCCTTCTGGATCCCTTTGGGTTCTCGCTGGAGCGGTCGGTGCTCTGTCTTGTGTTCCCCGCAGCTCTCAGTGCTGTGGACACACTTGATCAGGATACCTCTGGGTGGAGCAGGTGCTTGTACATGCCGGCATCATCTGGCACAGAGAGGCCAGATGTAGCCTCTCTCCAGATAGCCCAGCATCATCTGGCACAGAGGCCAGCACGTGCTTGCAGTGACCTTGGAGGGGCTGGTGGCCACACTGCCCTGGCTCTGAGGCTCTCATGGTTGCCAGGGCTTGGGGTGGTCACAGGGAGGCCTGGGTGGCCAGTGCAGAGAGGGGAGAGGAAAGAGCCTGAAAAGGCAAATGCCCCAGCCCGCTCTGGCCACATACTGGACAGGAGGGTTCAGGTACTTGAGGCGCTCAGACAAGTTGATCAGTCTATGAGCTCTTGACCCTCTGCATCCCTGATGCTGTGATTTGGGGGTGGGGGGCAGATGGGTGTGAGAATTCAGGGAGATCATCTGTACAAGCCATTCAGGAAGTCAGTGGCATTCTGGAGAATGGGGCTGGGGTGGGGAGCACTCCTTCTCTGGAGCCCACCAGGGGAGAACCCAAGGATGACCAGCTTGTGGCGGGGAGGAAGAAAGGACTCACATTTTCATTCTGGCTGTGACCACCGTCCAGGGCAGTTTCTGCCATGTTGTAGCACCTATAATAACAGGTAATATCTAGTGAGTGTCTGCCAGGTGTCAGGCATTTTTATAAGCAATTTCTACATAGGAGCTAGCGTTGTCCTGCTCACAACTCTGTCCCCAGGCCCCAGGCTCAGCCAGCTGTGAAGGGCAGGGCCAGCCCTGCCTCGGACGCTGCCTCTCCTGCTCCCCGACCAGCTGTGCCTACAGGAGTGGGAAGAGGCTTACCGAATAAGGGAGGAGATGGTCCAGAGGTTTAAAGGTCTTTCTTTCACTTCTTAGTTTGTTTTTTCTTTTTTAATGCAGCTTTTCATACACACACAGAATAAGAGAAGTAAGCAGTGAACCCCTATGTATCCAGTACTGGTCACAGAACCCATCAGCTTTGAGCTGTTTATCCATCTCCCCAACTCTGTCCTCCCCCAATTATTTGAAAGCAAATTTCTGGTACATAACATTATTTAACCCATGAAGATTCCAGTACACAGCACTAACAGTTTTCAAAAATATATAATCATTATTATATATTCTATTATTATTGTTATATTATGTAGTTATATATTATACAGTTATATATTATATAATTATTATTATATAGTTCCATTATTTCCCTTTATGACACTAATAATAATTCCTCAAAATCACCTAAGGCTCACCTGCATTCTCCCCAAATGCCTCAAAAACACCTTTCTTTGTGTCTGGATGTTTGAATCTGAATCCACACGAGACCCTCACACTGCATTTTGGGTTTTATGTCCCTTCAGTCTCTTCTGTATCAGCCCCCATCCTTTTCCCATTCCCTTGGTTTGTTGGAGAAATGAGGTTGTTACTCCTGGAGAGTCTTTCATATTTGTGACTTGGGAAAATCTTCTATTGGGGATTTGGTTGATAGCATCCCTGTGGTGTCATTTAACGTGTTCTTCTGTCCCAAGTGGTTCCTGTAACAGGTGGTTAGAGGTTGCTTAGATTTGAGTTCATGTTGTTGGCAGGACTCCTTAGGGTAGGGGTGTTGCCACCCACTTCTTTTCAGTGGTCAAGGCAGTGCAGTCTCAACTCTCCACAGAAAGCTCCATCAGCCTTTCAGCTCATTGTCTGAGCAGTGGTGAGGACTGTTGCAAAGGAAGAGTTGGCTGCTTCTGTCCTTTTCTCTTCTTCTATTATGAGTCTTCTGTAAAGAACTTTTCCTCATTACTTGGTTATCCAGAATGCTATGTCTGTCATTAAAAAATTTTTACCCTGAACTTTCCCCATCAGCTATAGAAAATGTAGGATCAATGTTTTTCCTTTTATTTATCAACCTTCAGAATGTGGAGCTGGCATCCTAGAAATGCAATTTTTTGATTTAAGAAATTTTTAAGTGTAAATATGTCCCATGCGTTATTTTGGATATATCTACAGTAAAAGCACCTCCATTGTTTAGCTGAAGTTTAAGTTCATGTGGTGTCCTGTATTTTTATTTGCTTTTCTGGCCACCTCAGCTGAGGCTTCTGATTGTGCCACCCCACTGCACCAGGGGATCTTCATGGTCACCCAAGGGCAGGAGTGGGCGGGGCAGGTGGGAGGAGGGTCCGATTTTAGAGCCTAGAGCCTCAGCTTTCCGCCCTCCCCTCAGTTGTCTTCAGAGGGTGAGTGAGCATTCTCTCTGCACACCCTGGCCCCTGACCTCATGGGAGGCCACACCACCATCCTGGGTGCACTCACCCTCCCCTGCTGCCTCCCCAGGCCCAGAGCGAAGTGTGGATGTGACAGACGTCACCAAGCAGAAGGACTGCAAGATGAAGCTGAAGGAGTTTGTGGACTATTACTACAGCACCAACCGCAAGCGGGTCCTCAACCTCACCAACCTTGAGTTCTCTGACACCAGGTGAGCGGGGCCAGGGCGGAGCGACGGAGAGAAACACGGGTTTGGAACATGCGGAAGATTTAAAGAGGAGGGCCTGTGACTGAGGCTGTTGAGGTCAGGGTGGCCTAGTCTATGACTTGTGACTGTCTTGTCTGAGCAGGCATGACCCTGAAGGCAGAGATGTGCCCAAGGCAGCAGGAACACTGGAGCCCTGTCCTTGGCTTGGCTGAAGTGTCACCGCACAGGTGCTGCTGAGCTGGGCGTGTTCGATGCAGTACTGTGCGTTCTGTCCAGGACAGTGCCACTGAACAGAATCGCAGGCTGTCTTTGCCTTTTCTCATCTTCCCTGGCGATGAGCTCTCTGGTCTGACGTGGCCCAGCCTGGCGCGGAGTTGCCGCACCCTGTTGTCTGTTCCGGAGGGCAGTGGCTTTTCCTTCGCCCGGGCTATTCGTCAGCAGTGACGTTTGCTCTCAAGGCCCCATCGTTCCCAGTGACGCTAGCATGAGCCCACCTGAAGTCTCTTTCCAGTTCTCCAAGAAGGAAGTTGTTTCCGGGGTAGATAGTTCTCAGGCCTTCTCTTTGGGTGGAGAGCCCAGTGTTCGATGCCTGCCATGGCTACACCTAGTAGCTGGGCTCCTTCTGCCTGCCCTGTGAACCTCGGTTTGCTACCTGGGAGGATGGGAGCAATGCCCTGTAGCCTGAGGTGGAGAAATAGGTGTGGGACTCATATCGCAGAGCACCTTGCCCTCCCTCCCCAGGGGGCATAACAAATGTGCTGATGGTTCCTGTCACTGTTGACCACCCTTCTTGTCCCTGACCCCAGAATGTCCAGCTTCGTGGAGCCTCCTGACATCGTGAAGAAGCTGTCCTGGGTAGAAAACTACTGGCCTGACGACGCACTACTGGCCAAGCCCAAGGTGACCAAGTACTGCCTGATCTGTGTGAAGGACAGCTACACCGACTTTCACATCGACTCCGGGGGCGCCTCTGCATGGTACCATGTGCTCAAGGTGAGCGCTGGCCTCTGCTCCCCACGGGGCCCTACCTGAGCCTTGAGGGCAAGACCTGCTCTTGACCAGAGCTGGCAGGACCGTGTGTAGTCCCCACAGGCCCTAAGAGTGGCCAGCATCAGGTGGGAGGAGGAACAAGATGTTTCTTCACAGAAAGGACACAGACGTTGGGCCCTTGGGGAGCAACTCAGGACGAGAGCAGCACACGTGTGGTGCTTCTTCTGAAGATTGAGGCTCATGAAGCAATGGGAGGAGGCCCACTGTAGTGGTGACCAAGAGCTGTGTCTGGGGAAGGGAGAACAGTGCTGGGGAGCCTTCCTGAAAGAGGGGGTGAGGGAATATCCCCCACTTGGGGAATGAGGGGTTGGCCGGGGGCCAGGGAGCAAGGCTGCGGTGGCATCTGAGCAGCAGAGAGAGCTAGGGAACTTCTGGCTGGGAACAGATAGGGAAGCTAGAGGAAAAGGGAAATCTGAAAACAAGACCCTAAGCATCGGGCTTACCACCCCGACCGGAGTCTCGCAGACCTGCTGGAGCCTGGGCTAGGATAGGCGGCTCAACTTCTGATCCCAGCCCTTGGAGGGCCTGAGCAAGTCCTACCACCCACTTCTGCACCCTTTGTGCATCTCCTGGCCTCAGCCTGTCTGCCCTGGGAGTGAGGACCTATCGATCTCCCTAGACGAAGCACAGAGCTGGGCTATAGCTGGCAGGGGGTACCATCCTTCCATCTCCAGTGGGACCCAGGCTACTCTCAAGTGAAGAGCTTTCTTAGAACTCGTCAGACTACAGGTCACAACTTTGTTCCCCTTGGCATGTACAGCATCCATAGTGCTGCAAAGATATGGAGTGTGGAGTGGCAGGGGTTGCCCTGAACATGCTGGAGCTGCCTATGCCCAGGATCTTCCTGACATACACACTTCTGGATTGCAAAGCACATGTGGCCCCAGTGTTTCAGGGGAGGAATGGTGGGCCTGGGAGGATGGTGTTGAAGCTGGGACCCACCCAGGGACATGGTGGGCATTACCCACCCCCAGCATCCCAGCATATGACAGTTTCTGCCAATGGCCTTTTGTTGGCAGGGGGAGAAGATCTTCTATCTCATCAAGCCAGCTTCAGCCAACATCTCCCTGTATGAGCGCTGGCAGTCGGCCTCAAACCACAGCGAGATGTTTTTTGCCGATCAGGTGGACAAATGCTACAAGTGCACCCTCAAACAGGGCCAGACCCTCTTCATCCCCTCGGGTGAGTGCCCTTCTTCTGTGTTATGTCCCCCACCTCTGATGTTTGGGAGGTCATGCCCTGGCTGTGTGCTGCCTTGCATTGGGGTTAGTCCTGCTCTGTGGTCATTTCTGGGGCCACCTCAGGGCCATGAGGCCCTGCAGCCTCCAGCCTGGCTGTGCTCCTGGAGGCCAGGCCTGTGGGATTGAATGGGGCCCTGAGAGCCCAGCCCAGAGAGCCCAGTCACACTGTCAGAGGTGGTGTTTGCTGATCTGGACATTTCAAACACAAAGGGGAAACCAGGATACAAGCAGATAATGCCCTTTACAGATGTCACTTTGCTTCACTTGTAAATACTTCACCTTTTAAGGTGAAGGTATCTGTAAGTTTTCTTTTTAAAAATAACATAATTACAATACTATCATCACGCTTTAAAAATGAACAGTTAACCATTCCAGTATTACCCAATGGCCAATTAGTGTTCAGATTTTCTGGTTGTCATATATGGAGGCCCTCACATTTCCACTGACTTATGTGCCTCTGAGTCCTTCCTGATCTAGCCCCTACTCCTGTTTCCTACAACCACAGTTATTTCCCAGAGTCTGGGGGTACAAACTCAGCTCTCCTGGGAGTTGTGGCAGCTCTGCCTGTCCGTCCGTCCTGCATGTGGAGATCAGGAATGCCAGGCAGCCCACCACTGGGTTGGGCCTGAGCAAGTCTCCTGAGCTCCTGGGCCTGGGTTTCCCTGTCTATACCACACAGGACTGGATAGAACAGACTGGGCCAGTTCGAACACAGGCTGTCCTGGGAGGGCACACCCACTCATTACATAGAAGCCAGGGCCAAAGCACCTGCCGGTGCCCCGGATGGATGGGGGCACAGAGGAAGGGCTGGCAGGAGCCGGAGCCATGCTGGCTGGAGTCAGGCCAGGTATGCCACAAGCCTGGCATGAGAACACTGTGAAGAGGTGGCCTCATCCCTGTCCCCGCAGGCTGGATTTACGCCACTCTGACGCCTGTGGACTGCCTGGCCTTCGCTGGACATTTCCTCCACAGCCTGAGTGTGGAGATGCAGATGAGGTAGGGCGACACCTGACTCCCAGGCTCCACCGTGGTATGGTGATACCTCCCCTGAGTCCTGGCTGGGCCCAGCCCATGGGTGACCCTCGGCATGGCTGTTTGCTTAGCCAGGTGTCTGCGTGGTGGGGAGGAAGGAGGAGATGAACTGTGATCCTCCCAGGGCTCCTGAGTTGCCTGGTTGCCGGACAGCCTTAGGCCTGTAATAGACTTGGGGGGAACTGAAAGGCCAAGCCGCCTTCTCCTTGGACACTGACCCAGAGCTCTAGAAGCCATGGCCCGTGGGGCTCACCTTCACGTCAAGTGGTCATCCTGAGGTGGTCCCCTGGTTCACCTTGTTGTTAAGGCCCCGCAGGGAGGCCTGAGCGGGCATGGCCGCAGTGTAGCCTCTGGTTGTGGCGTGGGTTCACCTTCCTTTAGCATTACCTGCTCAGGGCTTCATACACTGAATAGTTCTTTGCTGTGGCTTCCAGAGCATACGAAGTGGAAAGAAGGTTGAAACTGGGCAGCCTGACTCAGTTTCCCAACTTCGAAACTGCCTGCTGGTACATGGGGAAGCACCTGCTGGAGGCGTTCAAAAGTACGTCATCTCCCGGTCAGCGTCTTTGCCTGTGGCTGTGGATCAGTTTGCGGGCGGAGCTCAGGGATGCCGGAGAATGGTCACAGTTCTGCCATCATGCAGCAGGGCGGCTGGGCCCTGGGGCACAGGCTGAGCGCTGCCCTCATGGGGCCTGAGCGGAAAGTCCCCGCAGCTCCCAGGCCTTGCTTTCCCTGTCTGTGTGCTATGGGGCTAGAGTGGGCTCCTGCCTGCAGGGTCGTCTGGAGTTGCAGAAAGAGCTCTGGCCACATGTTTCCAGACCTCGTGTGTGTTCTGCTAGGTCCCCGTGGCCGCTGTGTGGTTACTGACAGGGCTCATTTGGGACATCGAGAGGCCTGGGGTCTGCCTGGCTACCAGCCGAAGGACCCCAGTAGCATCCCTGCTGTACTGGGGGAGTGTGGATGCCAGAGTCCCCCGGGGAAGGCTGTGGGGAGGGATGGGCTTTGCTGGGTCCCTGCCCTCCATGAACATGGCCCTCCATCCTACGTCCTGCTAGCTCTGCCTTTGGGATCAGCTCCAGGTGGCCAGCTCCTGCTCAGGTCTCCAGACTTTCTGCAGTCATGTGAGGGATACAGGAGGAGCATTTGCTTTCATGGAGAGCTTCCTTTTTCAGCAGCACCTGCCTTCCAGGAAGCTGCTCTTTTGTGTTCTGATAAGAGCCGCAAGTAGAGACCTTCTTATCGGACTCCTTTGTACTTTGACTCTGATTTGAGATCAGAAAGCTGAAAATGGTTCTTAACCTGGGCTGGCTAGGTTTCAGTGAAATTCATCCATCATTTTCTAAACTTCAGCCCTGTACTCCATACAGAAGGAGTGCCCTGCTCTGGGGTTTCTTGCTGGGGAGATGGAACAGGGGTCGTGTGGGCAGAATCACACCCTGGGGACCTGGGGACAGCTTGACCAGGGTGACTGCTGACTAGCTGGGCCTTGCTGGGCTGCCCTCGCCTCTCTGCCCTGGGCCTTCCTCTGTGATGGGACTGACAGTTCAGCAGCCTCAGAGCTGAGAGGGCCCAGGGGTTTGCCACAGGCCAGACATGGTCATCTGGTGGTGTCAGAGCTCAGGGCTGCTCCGCCTCCATGGTGAACTCTCTGCCTGAAGGGGGAACACTCTGTCCCTTCTGTTTGGGGGCAGCTCTGGCTCCCAAGGATGTGATTGAGGTGGTGCTTGCCTTGGGCTACCCCATTTGGAAGTGGGCCCACTGCCTCAGCTATGCAGGGGGCTGTGAGAGGGTGGGAATCAGAAAGCATCGGGGATGCTTGGTTTGGGGCATGACTGTGGTCCCTCACTGTTGCAGGCTGGGGACCAGTGGAGGGGGGAGCCAGCCCACCTGCCTGAGGGGCCTGGTGGGTGGACAATGGGAAGGCCAGTCCTGTCCCTTGCAGAGCATCTTAGATGGGCATCCTCTGGGTTCCAAGAGGAACCGTTGGCAGTTGGGCAGGTGGTGGTGGGCACATGCCTCTGAAAGGTCTGGCCCTGAATATCCCCTACCACCGGGGCTTTAAGTCACCTGCAGGTGGCAGGGGAAAGTGGGTACCCTCCTGAGCAAACCCATCCGTCTTCCCCCAGGTTCTCACAAATCTGGGAAGCAGCTGCCCCCTCATTTAGTCCAAGGAGCTAAAATTCTCAATGGTGCTTTCAGATCATGGACGAGAAAGCAGGTAGGGAAGTGTGCTAGGCGTGACCCAGGGCAAAAGGGAGGGTGGCAGGCGGGGCGTCATCCCTCGGGCTTGTCCTTCCTTCGGTGGGAACTAGCATGTGAGAAGCAGGTGGGGGCCGCCTGGCCAGTCACATATCTGTTGGTGGGGGCAGATGTGGGAGAGGGCCCGCCACCTAGGTACCTGGCCTGAGAGGTGGGGCTGGGTGGCAGGGAGATTCCGTGAGAGGAAGTGAGGTGGTAGAGACAGCACTGCGTGGACTCTGAAGGCGAGGGAGTGGGGAGGACTCGGGTCAGTGACTGGCTGGAGGTTCACGTTCTGAAAAGGAGAGTGGAGATGCCCTCGTTGTCCCACTGACTGAGGTGCAGGCGTCACCTCAGGGGCTGGCTTTGCTCTGTGACTAGGACAGCCCCTTTGCCCTATGCCTCTCCATCCCCCCGACCCCCGACCACAGGAGCACTGCCCTGCGCCCCTCATGACTCCCTTGAAGCAGCATTTCTGGGTCCCCCCCGCATTGAAAGCATCAGCACCCTCACTAGCATCCATGCAGTGGCTACTTCTCCTCAGGGAGACTCCAGAAAAGCAACTTCCAACTTCCCTTGGCATCCTGCCTGGATTGTTGGTACAGAGGGAGGGGAGAGGCCTGGTGAGCCTCGGGGCTCCTTGTCTATTGCCTTGGGCTGCCAGCATAGTCTGAGCAGATCCCACCAGGCCCCCGGAAAGTCTTGAGGAAGTGGGGAGTCCAAGAGGGGAGCACTGTGCATCTCTCATGGGTGGGCTGAGTGGGGTGGGGCAGTAGCTACCCTCCTAGGGCCCTCCTTCGGTTCTCAAAGCCTGGAGTGGGACAGGGTATGCCCCCGACTCACACCAGTTGTCTAGCCAGGTGAAGTGGCCTTCTGCCCAGGAAGAAGGGATGGCCTACATTCACATCACAGCTGGTAGTAGCACTGGGCACCCTCTCCCTCTGGGACTTACTTGTCCATCTTTAAGAGTGGGATCACGGCAGAGCCTCCTCGTCGGCACAGTGCCTGGCTAGAGTGGGCTAACTCCCTTAGGGGCCCCAGCAGCCAGTCCACGCCTGTGGCAGGGCCTTCCCCTCTGCCTGTCTGGGCAGCAGTGGGGCTAGAGGTCCTGGCTGGGTAGATGGGGGACAGCCTGGAGGGACAGAGGGCATGAGTCAGGAACCACAGCAGCTGAGCCTCCTTGGGGCCCCTGCGAGTGGAGGGGGGGTGGGCATCTGTGCCCAGACTTGGCAGCTGACCCTCTGACCCTGTGCATGGGCTGTCCTGCAGGCTTTGGCAGAACATGAGGACGAGCTCCCAGAGCACTTCAAACCCTCGCAGCTCATCAAAGACCTCGCCAAAGAGATCCGGCTCAGTGAGGTAGGGCTCACCCTGGTGGCCTGCTGACCCTGCTGGAGGGATGTCTCTGCCTGTCTTGCCTGGTCATCCTGTGAGGGTCGGCCACATGAGAGGCAGCCCCTCCTGCAGCCCTGTGGGGCAGGGTCGCCTGCACGATGACGCTGGATCCTAGGCGCTGGGGGCAGGTTCGCAGTCTCCTGGTGGGATCCTCGGGAAGGAGAGAGTGTGGGGGCGCTGTGCAGCCCCCTGTGGGGTGGGGAACGACTGCAGCAAGGACCACTTCAGCCCCTGAGACCCAGCTTGTGCGAGCCTGTCCAGCCCCCAGCCTCCCCGTGCCTCAGGGTGGGACAGCAGTCCCCACCAAGGAGGCAGACGGGTCAAGTGGCTGCTGATGTGGATGGTGTGAGACAGGTGTGAAATTGTCATATGGATGGTATAGATGGTGTGACTGTGTTCATAGATGGTGTAGCTGGCCGTGAGCTTGTGATACAGATGGTGTAGGATACATGTGAGCGTGTTACCAGTGATGCAGACAGATGCCGCTTTTCTGCCTGTTTCCCGTGGCCTGGGGTTGTGAGACCCTCCTAGCAGGGCACTCTTGGTCACTTCTCCCTGTCCTTTTCCCAGAATGCCTCCAAGGCCTCCCGACCTGAAGTGACTGCGGCTGTCTCCTCAGACGAGGTCTGTTTTGGGGACCGGGAAAAGGAGGAGCCCCCATCCCCCATTGAGGCCAGCCCCCCACGGTCCTTCCTGGAGAAGGTGTCCAAAAAAAAGACTCCCAAAACCGTGAAGATGCCCAAGCCGTCCAAAGTTCCCAAACCCCCCAAGCCCCCCAAGCCTCCCAAATCACTGAAGCTCAAGGATGGGAGCAAGAAGAAAGGGAAGAAGTGCCGGGGCTCAGCGTCACCCACCATCCCCAACCTGGACCTGTTGGAGGCCCACACCAAGGAGGCGCTGACCAAGATCGAGCCTCCTAAGAAGGGCAAGGTGGGTGGTCTTGCCCTCCCTACCTGTAGGCAGTGGGCCTGCAGACACCTCCGGGGGGCAGGCCTGTGGACTGGTGCTGGACCTGCTGTGTCCTTGTGCTGGAGACCCAGGGCAGCTGGGCTCTGCCCCAACAAGCTTGGTATAGTGGGCAACTGGGGAGAGACCCTCATGATAAAGGCAGCGGAGTCTCTCCTGGGTCAGGGTGGTACCATCAAGGGTCACCTGGGGGGACAAGCCGACTGAGTCTTCCCTGGGGCCCAGACATTGGCTGAAACCTAAAGGTGGGTGAGGCACCCAGTGGAGGGCAATGGGGAGGCGGGATTGGAGGTGGTGATGGGGCCAGGCTTCCTTGGGGCCCTGAGCCTCTGTGACAGTAAGAGAAGCAGGCCTGGCCCAGAAGACCCGTCAATGTGAGTAGAGGGTCTTAGGTATGGACGTTGGGGACTACGAGTCTCTGAAAGCAGGCCATACTGAATGATTTCCTGCTAGTGGGAGATCATTACCCAATGTTTCAGGGCTTAAGTGGGGCACATTGGTTTTCCTTTTCTCAATGCAAAGAGGGTAGATGAATGTATGAATTAATAGATGGGTGGGTGGATGGAAAGGAGAGAGGGAGGAAGGAAGGGTAGGAGGAGGAAGAGTGGTTGAATGAATGGGTGGGTGAATGGCTTATGAGTGGGTGAGTGGATGGGTGAATGGTTGGTGAATGAATGAGTGGATGGTTGGATGGTGTGGGTGGATGGGTGGGTGGGTGGATAGGTGGATAGTGGATGGTGAGTGGTAGACAGGTGGATGGTGAGTGGTAGATAGGTGGATGGTGGATAATTGGATGGGTGTTTGGATGGGTGGGTGGCTGGGTAGGTGGATAGTGGATAGTGGGTAGGTGGATAGGTGAATAGTGGATGGTGAGTGGTAGATAGGTGGATGTGGATAACTGGATGGGTGGGTGGGTGGATGGGTGGATAGGTGGATAGTGGATTGTGGGTGGTGGATAGGTGGATGGTAGATAACTGGATGGGTGGGTGGATGGATAGATGGTGTGGATGGATGGATGGGTGGGTAGATGGTGGGTGGATATGTGGATAATGGATGATGGGTGGGTGGATAGGTGGATAGTGGATGGTGGGTGGGTGGGTGTGTGGATAGGTGGATAGTGGATGGTGGGTGGGTGGATAGGTGGATAGTGGATGGTGAGTGGTAGATAGATGGATGGTGGATAATTGGATGGGTGGGCAGATGGATGGATGGCTAGTTGGGTATATGGTTGGGTATATTGATGGATGGATGAACTGATGTATGTAGGCCAGCAGGAGGTGGGGACTCTGTGCTGTGAGGTTCTCACTTTGCACTGTAGCCTGATGAACCCTGCTGCCCTCCCATGTCTGCTACTAGATCATGGCTAGTATTTTCTAGGCCACAAAGAATGTCCTGAGTGTGCCCAACAAGGAGGTGGTCAGCACGCAGAATGACGTGGAGCGGCTGGAAATCCGAGAGCAAACTAAGAGCAAGTCAGAGGCCAAGTGGAAGTACAAGGTGAGGTGTATGTGTGTGCAGGTGTGCTGGTGAGTGCATCTAGCCCCAGGGAGGGCTGTGTTAGTGAAAGAAGGTGGTGGGTGAGGCAGGTGTGGGCTCAGTAGTGTGTGCTTGTAGGATCTGTCAGGGTGTGTGCTGTGAAGGTCTTTGAGGGTCTGGGCGTGCACATAGCCTCCTGGAGCTACCTTCTGAGGGTTGGTGAGGTCACGTCTTAGCCTCAGAAGATGGACACTGTTGCCCTTAGTGGCCTGCCCTGGTTCAAGCTGGCAATCCCTGGAGCTGGTCAGCATCCGAGGGCAGTTCCTGTGGACCTGGGGCTGCGGTGGGCGTGGGTCCTCAGGTGACATGTCAGAGGGAGGAGGCTGGCCTGTCCTGCTGCGTCTGCCCACTGGTCACCTGCATGGGGTTCAGGGACGGTCCTGGGTTTGCTTTGCAGAACAGCAAACCCGACTCCCTGCTGAAGATGGAGGAAGAGCAGAAGCTGGAGAAGTCGCCTCTGTCCGGGAACAAGGACGCCAAGTTCTCCTTCTCCTTCTCCAACAAGAAGCTGCTTGGGTACGTGCGTGCTTGTGCCGGGGGGGGCTGGTTGTACCCACGCCACATGTCGCACACGCATGCCCTGAGCATCCCCTCTCCACATCACACACACACATGCCCTGCTTGTGCCCACCTCACACACACACACACACACTCTCCTGGAGGACTCTGCAGGTGAGCCCTTGTCCTGAGCTAGAGGATGTGGCCAGGCACACCCCTCATGAGGGTCTCACCAGGCTGATCCCTTTCCTGCTTCCTAAACCAAAGAGCTCAGGTAGGTAGGCATGGAGCAGTGGTGTGTGCGGCAAGGAGGGGAGGGTATGACTGGGCAGATGCTATCTAAGTGCTGTCCTGGGCTGTCACAGAGGACATGCTGGGGGTCAGGATCTCGGCCTAGGAGTCCAGAGGCCAGTGGGGAGAGGCTGGTGTGAGCCCAATACTGTCAATTCCACCTGAAATGATGGCTGTGATTGGGGCCATGGAAGAAGGATTTGTAGGGCCTGGGGTGCTATGGCGTCCTTGATTGCCCAAGGGAATCTGTGGGAGGGCTTCCTGGAGGAGACGGCCCTAAGCTGAGAGGTGGGGCACCCAGGCTGGGTGGGTCCAGGTGTGTGAGCTGGTGTGTTTAGGTCCCAGGCTGTATAAGGGATCTCGGTCGGCTGACCAGTGTGGTGGGCTGGCCAGGTGGGAGGTGGGTGGGCCAGGAACCCTGTGCCCACTGAGAAGCCCCTCGCTGGCCTTGGTCTGACAGTTGTATGCTGAATCCAAAGTGCAGCGTGAGTGCCTGACAAACAGGAGGTAGACACATCCCAGTGGGAACGGGGCCACTCTACGCCTGTGGATCTGTTTTCTCCTCTGCAAAATGGGAGAAGGCCATTTTCAGGTGGTGAGGGACAGAGCTGTCAGTGTCTGGTGGTCTTGCAGAGCCTGGCATAGGTGGGCCTATTTTTCCCAAGAGCTCATGGCAGTGTGCCAAGGCCTCTTGGCAAGCAGATGGGTTGGATCTGTTGCCATGACTTTATGGCCCGGGCATGTCCTTGATTTATCTGAAGCTCAGCTGGTGGGTCCCGGGGAGCTTTTGACGGCCTTAACTGTATGACTGACTGACCGTGCTAGAGCTTAGAAATGGAAGGGAGAGAAGGAGACATGATTCTATAACCATGTGCGTACATGGGTATGTGTGTGTACACGTGTATGTGTGTTGCATGATGTAGCTCATGCCCACACCCAGCAGGGCTCACTGCCAGCTGTCCTTGGTGTTTCCATTGTTGGGAATCGGAGCTGTACCCATTGGGAATTGCAGACGTCTGTGCCCTGCCTGTTGCTCCCCACTGCTGAGTGTGCACTTGTGCCCTCAGCTGACCCCGGAGGCAGCAGCTGGAGCATCGAACTCTCCTCGTTTGCAGTAGCCCTGTGGCCCCAGGATTTGTTATGTTGTTCCTACGCCTCAGCCCTGAAATTATTTTTCCATAATAACTGTGTGAATAAAAAACCCAGGCCGGTTGGCACTGGCCGTGTCTGACTCTGAGCTTGTATCACGCCCCAGAGCAGGCTGACAGAAGTCTGTGCTCATCCAGCGGCTAGGATTGGGGAGCAGTTAGGGGCACAACCTCACACAGCCTGAGGAAGGGCCAGGCTATCCCATGGGTTGTGTGCTATCCTTGCTGGGGTCATGGCATTGGAGAGAAGGCTGTGGGGTTGGGAGGGGTCCAGCCCTTACTGTTGGTCTTCCAAGGCCTGTTGAGGGGTGGAGTGCTGGGGACACTGGCCTGGCTGTGCAGATGCCCACTGACTGACCCTTTTATTCCACCCCAGCTCCAAGGCCCTCAAGCCGCAGCCGGGCCCAGGGGTGTTCGGGGCCTTGCAGAACTTCAAGGAAGACAAGCCCCAGCCGGTGCGGGATGAGTATGAATACGTGTCGGATGATGGGGAGCTCAAGATTGACGAATTCCCTATTAGGAGGAAGAAAAATGCTCCGAAAAGGGACTTATCCTGTGAGTTGGAGGGATACAGGGAGGGGGCAGGCCCAGCCCCATAGGGTCCATCCCGGGCATGTGGAGTTGGGTGGCGTTGGATGTAGCTGGACTAGGGTCCCCCCCTGCCCCTCTAAAGTTGCCATTGACTCCCATCTGCTCTGCTTTCAGTCTTACTGGACAAGAAGGAGCCGCTGCCCACGCCCGTTACGAAGCCAAAGCTGGACTCGGCGCTCTACAAGGTAAGCAATTGCCTTCTGGGACACTGGTCACAGGAGTGAGCGAGACAGCCATCCCTGCATCTGGCTGTTCTTGAGGCAGTGGCCTGCCTGCCACTTGGTGGGACGTCTCTGACTGAGCTTTCTGGGTGGAACGTTTTCCTGGGGAGGCTGGCTGGGCTCCAGATGTGGGACTGTGAGCCCTGGGGCCCTGCACAAAGGGGCAAAAGCTGAAAGTCGGGACTTGCGGAAGGTCTACAGGTATCTGGAGCTGCGCTCCTCAGTCAGATCCACGAGTTTCCTTGATGTTTGAGGATGGTGGTACAGAGGGTAGCAGGCCAGGCTGCTGGGGGTTGGTTATAGGGGTTACGTTATGGGGGAGGTATGGGGGTTACGTTAGATAACCTCCAAGGCCGTGCATGTCCAGCCCAGGATGTGGTGGCCATCTCCCAGGAAGCCAGGTTCCAGGAAGACGGGTGATACCCTACGTGCAGAGCCCAGGGTGTCCCTGCGGAGCCGCCGGCCAGGGGCTGGTAACTGCTGTCCTTCAGGTGCAGGATCACCCGCCTGATCCCTGTCCAACCACAGCAGCTCCTCTGTGTCTGTGCTCAGTACTGGGGCTCCCACGTAAGGTTCTGTAAGCCAGGGCTCATCTGGGAAGGTGGTGCAGATGGGGCTCCAGGCTCCCGGCGCAAAGCTCTGGCGCCCACGCTCTGCAGTGTGTGTCTGGTCAGTCAGCCTCCCGGTGCTCAGCACAAGGACAAGCTCTTTGAAAACCTCTTTTTCTCACTGGAGTGAAAGAGTCCCTCCCCTACCCCCAAGCCCTTTTCTGACTGGCTGCTCTGTCCCCGCAGCCGAGCGATGATTCCTCTGACGAGGGCTCACTGCACATAGACACGGACACCAAGCCCGCCCGCAATGCCAAAGTGAAGAAGGACAGCGGGGGTTCAGCCGCGGGCATCCTGGACCTGCTTCAGGCCAGCGAGGAGGTTGGCGCCCTCGAGTACAACCCCAACAGGTAGGCCTGGTGCCCTTGGGGAACTGGGGGGAGTCGGCGCTTCCACGGAGTTGGGCCAAACAGGACTCCATCAGCCCACGTCCTAGAGGCTGGACAGTCGGAGTGGGACGTCTGCCTGGCAGAGGTGGTGCCAGGTGGCCAGGGAGGTGAGCGGGGGCTGGCTATGTAGGTCCTTCGTGTTGCAGAGCTCCTGCATGAGGACTCTGTGGGGACACCATACCCGTGGGAGCCTGCGGGGAAGCAGGGCCAGGCTGGGTACCTGGAGGGTGTCAGGGTGTTTCCAGACTGGGACGTCCAAGCTGTCTCTGCCTCATCATTTCCCAAATGTCATAAAAATGACCTAAGAAAATTCCACGGTGTGTGCCCGGTGTCAGGGTAAAGAGCATTCATGGGCCTCTCTGGGACCCCAAGCTGGCTTCCCTGCAGAGCCATCATCTGCAGCAAGGGAGATGATGGCTTCAGAGCTTGGGACGTGAGAGCCCACTCCCTGAGAAGGGGCTGGATCAGCCAGGGTCCCAGACTCCCACCCCACCTGGGAGTGTGTGGGAGCTAAGCCAGGCTGCCCTTGAGACCTGTTTGAGTCCACATGTGCGGCCTCAGGCCCCACTCACTGCTGGTGTATATCTGCCCTTTCCCAGAGGCCCTGAGCTTCCAGGCAATCAGAAAGGCCAGGACATGTGTCTGCTCAGCTCAGGTGGTCCTCCCTGCCTACGCCTGCCCAGTTTCAGTCCTTTGATTTGAGAGAAATGGATTAATTCTCTTGGGGTTTTGCATTGGATGGGAGGCCATGGGGCTTGTTTTTCTCATGATTGTTGTCATTTAGTCGCTCAGTCATATCTGACTCTTTGTGGCCCCATGGACTGTAGCCCACCAGTCTCCTCTGTCCATGGGATTTCCCAGGCAAGAATACTGGAGTGGGTTGCCATTTCCTTCTCCAGGGGATCTCCCCAACCCAGGGATTGAACCCGAGTCTCCTGCCGTGTAGGTGGGTTCTTTACCACTGGGCCGCCAGGGAAGCCCCTTTTCTTAGGATGGTCCCAGTTAAATTCCCTTTTGGTCCCAACTGGCTCTTGTTTTTAAGCATCATGGGGCATTTTTTTTCCCCCCACATGGAATTTCTACAAGTACCACAGACAGACAACCAAGGGATGGAGGCCTGTGCCCCCTGCAGCCTCCCCATCCTGGAGATGTCTGCCACCGTGGTGAAGGCTGGCTCCCTTCCTAGTTCTGGAGTCATCAGGAGATTCCTGCTGCGTCGATGGGGAAACTGAGGCTGAGAGAGCTCAGGTGGCTTGTCAAGGCCACACAGCTAGGGGGCAGCAGATAGGACTAGAAGCTCCATCTGCTAATGATGGAGCCCAAGCGTGGGGGTCCTGGAAGGCTGACCATGCTAGACGGTGTCATCCAGCCAGGGCGGGGTGACTTGGCCTGAGGGAGGCGGGGCTTACATGGTCTGCTTGGCATTTGTTTGGTCCTCCAGATCTGCCTTTCAGCCCACGCTGCCAGGATTGAAGTCCGAGGGCTACCTGAGCCGGTGGAGGCACATGTCAGCCCCATCTCAGACAGCGGGGCCCCAGCAGGAGGATTAGGGCTTGATTGAAAAGTGTTCTTCCTAAATCAAATGGTTGTATTTTCTTTCACTGATCACCATTTTTTGTGCAGTGTTATGCTCACAGATAGCCATAGGCGACTTCTCTCATGGGCGTGGAGTATGGTTGGAGGCTTCTACCGAGCTGTGGGGTACAGATTTCCTGTTCAGCATGGTAGTTTCTGTAGATAAAGCAGACCCAATCCCCTCAACTGCAGAGATGCCCTGGTGGTGGCAGGAGGGACCCTGGCCTGGGACCCCTTTGCCGGGAGGAGAAGCCTGACTGTGAGCCCCCTTCTGCTGGAGGGGGCTGGTGCCTGGGCTGTCCCTGCACCTCTTCAGAGGTGCCTCTTTTCTGGGAATGCTCTGGCTAGCTGGCACCTCAGTGACTGAATGACACTCACCCAGGTCCCCTGTGAGCTCCATGGAGAGCTGCCCCCAAAACCGGATGAGGGCAGATGAGGCTGGTGCCAGAATTCTGCCCGGAGCTGGGACACAGGGCCTGCAGCTTGGGCTCCTGACTGAGCCTGGGCATGGCTTGTTGGGAGAGGGTGGCCAGTCTGTGGATGCGTGTGAACTGATCTGTAGGTGCACACGTGTGTGCTCACACACGCCTGCATGTGCCTGCCGGGGTTGGCCTCCTTGGCTGCCGCAGGCAGTTCCTTTCCCAAGTCTCCCATTTGGAGTGTAGGTCAGTGTTTGATGGTCCATTTGCTCTGTTTTAAGTATTTGCTTTTTTGGAAAAAAACAGCTGAAGAAAATGGAGGAAAATATGTTAATTTCTTGTGGATGGTTTGCTGAGTGTTTACCGCCGGGGGGAAAGGAGAGGATTTTGGTATGATAATTGGAGGATTAAGGTATTATTTTCCATGCACACTGGTTAGACTTTGCTCCTTGATTCGCCGGCCCACGTGGCCAGTCTGCAGCCCTGGGCTCCAAGGCCCCTCCCTCTCAGTTGCAGCTGAGCTGGGCTGGGACCACGACGTCCAGATGGCACAGGCAGGCGGCTGGCTTCCATGCTGGCTCCCGGAGGACCCTCGTGGTGGGTGTCCTGGCCCCCACCCTCCCATCCCTGCAGGAAGTCTGGCGTTTGTCCAGGTCATGAGGCTGGGTGAGGATGCCTGAGACCTTCAGGGCCTCATCCGCAGAGCACTGGAGAGCCTGGTGTGGAGCGTTGGGGGCCATCTATCAGCTCTTGCTGGCTCTCATACTTGGCCGGGGGTGGGGGTCTGTCCCTGCTCAGAAAGCATCAGTGATGATGGTGTAGCAATGATACTACCATTACCAAACGCCATGTGCTCCTGACTGGGTCCGGGCATCCCTTTGCCCTCATGGCACGGGATAGTGGGGGTTGGGAGGACACTGGGGCAGGTGGAAGGCCTGGTGGAGGGCTCCTAACTCTCCACAGCGGTCTCATCATACTTGATTTTTCCCACTGTTTGTGGCTTTGGAACCATAATCCATCCGCTTCTAGCAAAAGCCCAAAACACTGCGGTCCAGTATGTCTCGGGCGGGGCTGGGAGAAGCAGTATTCATGGAGTACTGCCCAGAGAGGCGCCCGCCCGTCGCTGCCTCCTGGCTTAGGGCAGAGTCCCTGGCCTGGAGCCAGCAGTACCCCTCACAGGACGACTTTTGTCCAAGCTTGTCTTGGTGGGCCCCCAGGAACACAGGGGACCACCTCTCTGTCTGCTTCCTGGGGCCAGCTCCATCTCCCTGCACCCTCCAACCTCAGTCTTGGGAACCTTATGTCTGAGCAGGGATTTCTTCTCATTTTAATGTCTTACTGGAGATGCTTCAAACACTTCTTGGAAGTGGGGGAGGGGGCGGGGACCATGCAGAACCACCAGGGTGGTTCTGTGGGGACACTTTTGGGCGCTGCTTTTGTGTTCTGGCAGCCCTGTGGGTGTGTCCATCCCCTGGGGGCACATGGGGCAGGCCGGAGGGGGCCTGAGTGTCACACATGCAGGACGGGCCCGCTGCTGGGCCTCCAGGGCCTCCTGGGTCTGTGACCAGGGAGGAAAGCCAAGCGGTGCCCCATCACAGGCCCTGCTTCCTCAGGAACCAGGGGGCAATGAGAGGTATAGGCAGGCTCTCCAGAGGCTGGGGTGGGCTGTCCTTACCCAGGTGGACAAATGTCTGGGGTGATGGGCAAGGGTGAGGGTGTGGGTGCAGGTGCAGTCATGAAAAGACGGTGCGGTCACCGGGGGAGATCGAGTGCTATGGGAGGGAGAGGCCTGAGCCGCCCTATCTCAGGTGCTGGATGAGATGTGGGGGCTTAGTGCACAACTGGGGCTTAGTGCAGGAGCCCATGGTGGGCTCAGGGGTGCACGGAGAATGGAAGAGGGAGAGGGAGGTGGCCTGGGTCCCTGGGGGGAATCTGCTGTGACTTCATGATGGGAGAGATCAGGAGTACCTTTGTCTGCCACGTTCTATCTGTCTGCCCCTCCTCGACCCCTCCCTCCACTTCCCCTCCCTCTCTTCTCTATGTATGCCCCTCTCTGTCCCAAGGCCTCCAGCCCTCCCTTTGATGTTGGGGGGTGGGGGGCAGAGGGTAGAGGAAGCGGGTAGCTGGTCCTTTCCATGGGGAGGCCGTCAGCCGCCGCCGTCCTCCCCCCACGCCCTCTGCTGGTTGCTGAGTGGGAGGATGTGCGGGCCGTGGGCTGAGTGCCTGTCTCTCTGTGCCTCCAGCCAGCCCCCCGCCTCCCCCAGCACACAGGAAGCCATTCAGGGAATGCTGTCCATGGCCAACCTGCAGGCTTCCGACTCCTGCCTGCAGACCACGTGGGGTGCTGGCCAGGCCAAGGGCAGCTCGCTGGCCGCCCATGGCGCCCGGAAGAACGGGGCTGGCGGGAAGAGCGCAGGCAAGCGGTTGCTGAAGAGGGCGGCCAAGAACAGCGTGGACCTGGATGACTATGAGGAGGAGCAGGACCACCTGGACGCCTGCTTCAAGGACTCGGACTACGGTGAGCCTGCCTGTCCTGGGGGCTGGGAGCCAGACCTTGTGGATGTAATCCACAGACCTTAGACGTTTCCCTTTAGAAACATGCAACTCAGAGGTGCTTGGTGTATTCAGAGGGAAGGATGTGCCGCTGTCAGCACCCCCAATTGGAGAACACTTCATCAAAGGAAACCCTGCCCTGTGCCCATTAAGAGTTAATATGCCTCCCCTGATTTACGCTGATTTCTGCCAATGCATAGATTTTCCTCATCTGGATGTATCATGTGAACAGAATTGCACAGTACTTGGCCTTTGGTGCCTGGCTTCTTTCATTAGCATACTCTTTTTTTTTTTAAACTTATGGTAATGCGTTATTTATTTATGCATTTTTTTTGGCTGCGCTGGTCCTCATTGGTGCATGTGGGCTCTCTCGAGTTGCGGTGAGAGGGGTCTGCTCTTCTTGTGGTGCACAGGCTTCTCACTGTGGTGGCTCATCTTGTGGAGCAGAGGCTCCAGGCACACAGGTTTCAGTACTTGCCACACGCAAGCTCAATAGTTGCCGTGTGTGGGCTCTAGCGTGTGCAGGCTTCGCTAGTTGCATGTGAAATATTCTTCCTGGACCGGGGCTTGAACCCGTGTCCCCTGCACTGGCAGGTGGATTCTTATCCACTGTACCACCAGGGAAGTCCTCATTAGCGTACTCTTGAGGCTTCATCCACATTGTAGCACGTGTCAGCTTTATCCCTTTTAGCGGCTGGAGAGCATTCCACTGTGTGGACACACCACGTTTGTTGACCCCTTCATCCATCCCCAGGCACTTGGATGGCTCCCACCTTTGGGCAGTTGTGACTAGTGCTGCTGCAGGGGGTTTTGGGCAGCCCGTGTCCATGGTGTCTTCCTGGGTCGCTGCCTCTGGCACCTTCTGAGAACCTGCCTGACTGTCCTTCACGTGGCTGTACCATTGCATAGACATGTGGAGACCACGTCCATCCTGTGTCTGTGTAAACAGAGAAACCACGGCCCAGAGTGTCTCTGTGGCCTGAGTCTGAGGTGGGCAGTAAGTTGGCGGCTGGGCCATAGCTGTGGCCTCTGCCCAGGGGCATGGCCCCTCACCTCACACCGTAGCCCGTCCAGGCCCAGTGCTTCAGGTTCCACTACGGCCTGAAGGAGTTGCTGTTGGCTGCTTGGCAGGAGACTTGGAGCAAGGACCTACCTCCATGCCTTGGCCTGCTGCCCGGGATGCCCCAGTCCACACGGGGTGTGGTGTGCTTCTAGGGGTGAGGGGTATGCTCACCCCCACGGTGCAATCCTGATGGTGCGAGGATGCACCTTTGTCCCGAAGAGCCCTCCCGTGGTGAGGCTGGGCCTATCCTATCCGGTGGACACTTTCAGGCCTCACTGACGGGGGCTGTCATGGTCTGAAAGACTAATAGTGGGGTGAACTCCATTTTGGGGACACGGGGCAGGTCCTGGGGGTTAAACCTATTGATAATAGGAGGAGGCACCCAGTGAGTCACCCAGGACTGCAGTGTGGGTCTCCCTGCTCTAGGGACTTGTTGAGGAGAGTCTGGGGTCCTTCAGAGCCAGCCGGCTCTAGGGACATCAGCGGTTCCCTTCTCTGACAGCAACAGAAGAGATGTCTTGAGAATTGGGCATTCAAGTGGGCATGGCAGCCAGGCTGGGGTAGGCATGGCCGGTTGGGTGGCCATGGGGGCTGGATGGAACCCCTTGGCTGGCTTCTCTGGACCCCAAGGGTGCCTGGGCTGAACGATTTCAGAGGCCAGCTGTGCCTATGTACGGGGCAGCCACTCCGGGAGGGCTGGTGCTATGGAGTGTGCAGACAGCCCCGGGGGATGCCGGTCACAAGGTCTGCTAGCAGCCTGCAGCACCCATCCTCCTGGGGCCGTACCAACAGCTCAGTCCTTCCTCCTCTTTCCCCCTCTAGTTTACCCCTCCCTGGAGTCGGATGAGGACAGTCCTGTTTTCAAGTCCCGGTCCAAGAAGAGGAAAGGATCGGATGACGCCCCCTATAGCCCGACAGGTAGCGCTGGGGGCTGGGAGGGGAGCTCCGTCCACACGGAATGCCGATAGTCGTGTTGCACACCCACTGGCTCTGTGGCTCAGACAGGCTGTCTCTTGCCTGCAGGAGCCCGATTGGGATTCCACTTCAGTCCCGGGCCCTCAGCCAAGTGCTCTCGCAAACACTCAAAGGCGCCCCGGCTCCTGCCAGGGGAGCAGTGCTGTGTCCCTGGGGTGCGCTGGCCCTCGGCCTTGGCTCTCATCAATGAGAAATGCTGGGAGGGTCCCGTGTGCCCCTGGCCCCCATCATGGCAGCCAACAGAGTGGGGTCTGGTTCCCCTAACACACTCCCTTCCTGACCCCTCCCGTCCTGCTGATGTAGGGCAACCACCCCCACACGAGGTTGGGGCTCTTGCTGACCTTCCCCAAAATGTGACTTGTCCCTGGGGTTCAGGGACAGATGAGGGCAAGGCTGGGAGATCCGGGAGGGCGCTTAGGCGCTGGGTGGCGACTCGAGGCAGGCTGACCTTCTTTCCTGCAGCGCGGGTTGGCCCATCGGTGCCAAGGCAAGACAGGCCTGTGCGCGAGGGGACCAGAGTGGCCTCCATTGAGACTGGGCTGGCAGCTGCCGCAGCCAAACTGTCCCAGCAGGTGAGGAGAGTGTCCCCTCCTGGGCTTAGGCTCCCCCTGATGCCTTTGTGCCCCCCACTCTCATGCACGGGGATCACCCAGACTGGGGCTGTCACAACCTTGGGGACATTTGAGTATTGCTGACCCCGGTTCCTTCAGGTTCCCAGGTCCATGCTAGTGGGAAGCAGAGAAGCTGGGAACTGGTGTCAGACGCCCCATGGCAGCTCACAGTGGGGTGGCGGGGAATGGGGGCTTAGGGAGATGGGGGAGGGGGCCCATACTACATGTCCACCAATAGGTAAGCTCAGATTGGGCAGGGTCTGTCCACTACAGCTGAGTGCTGATGCCATGTCCTGCACGTCCCCATGTCCAGGACGGCCTGCCTCACAGAGTGGGGCCTGGTGGTCCCTCCACAGACCCCCGTACTGTTCTGGGGGGCTCGTGGTGGCTGGAGGTGGGCTCGGGCATGGTCCAGCCCTTTCTGCTCCTGCAGTGCTGCCTTGCTCAGCTCCATGGGAGAAGCCTTGTCCACAGTAGACCAGGCTGCTCCCAGGCTGCAGGCTGCTCCCCAGGGTCTGAGGTCTGGCCAGCCCTGTGGGGTGACAAATCTGCATGTTTTATTCAAAGGAGGAACAGAAAAGCAAAAAGAAAAAGAACACCAAAAGGAAGCTGGCTCCCAACACCACCTCCCCCTCTGCCTCCGCCTCTGCCGGCACCACCTCGGCCAGCACCACCTCGGCCAGCACCACCTCGGCCTCCACCACCTCGGCCTCCACCACCTCGGCCTCCACCACCCCGGCCTCCACCACCCCAGCCTCCACCAGCACGGCCAGCAGCCAGGCCTCACAGGAGGGCAGCTCACCCGAGCCCCCGCCAGAGTCCCACAGCAGCAGCCTGGTCGACCACGAGTACACAGCAGCCGGCACCTTCACTGGGGCCCAAGCCGGCCGTGCCTCTCAGCCCATGGCCCCCGGGGTCTTCCTCACGCAGAGGAGGCCCTCCTCATCATCCCCCAACAACACCGCTGCCAAAGGTACCTTGCTTGTTGACCCCGAGTGGCCTGTGAGTGACCGCAGGTCTCTGTCCCTGCAGCCATGGGTTTCTGGGGCCAGGCCCTCAGTCAGTGTGCGAGAGAAATGGCTCCTTTCAAGACATGAGACATCTGGTTACTCACCAGGGGGGTTCTGGGTACCTTGGAGCTAGGTCCATTCCTTTAGACTACCAGGGCCTTGGCTTTGGGTCCTGGCCTGGAGACAGTGTGGGTGATGGTTTGCTGAGGGTTCACTGGGAGTGACCTAAGGTGGCCCGGGCTCATCCTTGTGATTTAGGGGTCTAACAGCTGGCTGGGTCCTGTGGTATCCCCACTGTCACCCCAGGCCCACTGAGCCCTGGCCATGAGCCCCAGCCAGCCATGGACATGGGGAGTGTGGCTGTAGGTAGCCCTAATGCCATCCCTGGACTGTCCCTGCTGCACATGCCGTGCCCTAGCCCCTTGTTGACACGGCCGCTGAGTGGGGCATCTTGTGGACAGTTGATGGTTTTGGAGGGATGCAGAGCTCCCTGTCCTTGGGCATCGCACGCGCATCTTACAGAAAGGGTGTGGGCTCAGTGAGGGATTACAGACCCCCATCCCATATGCTGCTCCTCTCACTTACCTATCTTTTTTGTCTCTCCACCTCCCCCAGGAAAACGTACAAAAAAGGGCATGGCCACTGCCAAACAGAGGCTGGGGAAAATTTTGAAAATTCATCGGAATGGAAAACTGCTCCTTTAAAGTTTGGAAAGCCAGGATCCTTCTGCTCCACTCAGGACCCCCGGAGCCCCGCTAGAACATCAGCCCCCAGGAGGGTGGCCTTGCTGCCTCACCCAGGGAGGGCCTGGCCTCCTCCCAGCAACCACCCCCCTCACATGAGCATCTGTTGCTTCAACAGGCGGAGCTCGCCAATGTGGACAGACGTCCTTTCTCAAGTTGCTTAGAGTGACCAGTTCCCGAAACATGGCCCCGCCCATTTGAGGACCATTCCAGTTTCAGGACAGCCTCCAGGCATCCCCGAGCATGGGTGTGATTGCAGGGCCTCTGCAGCTCTGCTGGGAGCATGAGTCCTTCAAGGAAGGAGGAGTGAGCCAATGCTCACCAGGCCCAGAGTCTGAGCTGGCCACAGACTGGTAGCCTCCAGAGGCTTAAAAAAAGGCAAAGAACACTAGAGAGGAAGAGGAGGAGAAATCGGGGTGTGTATGTGCCCCCCTTCTCTTCCCAAGTGATTCTCAGACAAGTCCAGAGAGTGTTCGGTCCGGTTAGGAGAGGAGCCTCTGTGCTCCCCGGATAGTGGGTGGTGGGCCGGATGGTGGGTGTTGTGCCCTGAGTGTCCAGGGCATTTCTTGGGGCCGGCTGGGGCTGGCAGCAGGGTCGGTGTGTCAGTGGGGGCGAACGGGAGCCATGATGGGGTCCCCGGGGAAGGGCTTGGGCCCAGCCACAGTGTGGCACCCCGGGGGCCCAGGCTAAGCCACGTGGGTGGGCCTCATCCAGCCTGACCATCTATACTCCGAGAAGCACTTCCCAGCCAAAGCACTCCGCCATATGCCTGGTGGGGCAGGTGTTGGCCGGGTGGCCCAGGGACGTGGGGGCCAGGCACTTCTGTCTTGTCACTTTCTGACGTTTGGTGTCGAGTGCGTGGGTGGCTCCTGGACCACGTGTCTGCCCATCGACACGGAGGGGCTGGATTTGTTTCTCAGGCAATCCTGTATTTTAATTTTAGATGTATTTCCTGAAGCATATTTTTCATAGAATGTAGCGTGTAAATAGCTTTTTAAATAACTTCTTTTTTATAAGAGTAAAAGTATCTTTAGGAATTTCTTTCTATAGAGTCCTTCATTAACATTTATACGAGTTTTTTGCCGAGTATGATGAACAGTTGGGTTTCCGATGCTTTTCCTTTTCCTTCTTTCTTTGTATTATTATGGTTATTATTATTATTTTTTCTTTTAGGAACTAAGGTATTGCCTGAAAAACAAGTGATGTCTGTGCAGCCTTATATCTGTCTTTACAGAAGCAAACAGTACACAAAAGATCTATTTCAGACACATTTGAAGAGGAATCTTCAACTTGAATACCAGCTCTTTCTTTCCTTCTTGTTGATGAAGGGGGTGGGGGTACAGTTATTTTACTAGCACCTTGTGAAGTGTTTCTGTGTTTTGTGATGCTGTAATTTATTAATGTTTGTAGCTTTTTATATTTGTACATTTCTTATGAGCTTTGTTTATATGCCCATCCCTGGGTGTTCTGTCCATGAGGAGAGGCAGCTTCATGTGGGCCTTGCCATCCTTGCTCATCCTGTTTGGGGGACACAGCCCCAGGGCCCAGAGGCTGGAAGGGGCGAGCCTCACGGGGCCCTGACTATTCTGACCCAGCGTTTTGCAGGTTTCCTTTCCTGTCCTTGTTGAACATTTATATAATCTAACCTGGCCATCAAGCTGTTCTCTCTCTTCCTCTCTTTTATTTTTTTAATTTTATTATTATTATTTTGGCAACATGTACATTTCTAACAAAGTTTATTGTGGCTATTAAAGTGTTTTATTTCCCAATTCATATTACTCTTGTATCGAGTCCATGAGGTCTAAGGTAACTTAGATCAAAGTTTTAAAAGAGTAAAAATATTTCCGGTTTTGTACAGAATCATGTCTTTGTCGTTTCTGCCTCGTTCGCTGTTGTCCACTCTGCAGTGAAGATGGGGGGGGGGTGGTCTTGGACACTGGGGAGAGGAGTGTGGTGGGCTGGGTTTGAGGGTGGGCAGTCAGGCCAGGCCCCCTACCCAGGCCCAGGCCCTGGCTGCCAACATTCCCCATGGAAAGCCCTTGGGTTGCCCATAGGACATATGTACTGTCCTGTACCCCAAAGCTACAGCACCCTGAGCCAGCCTGTAGGAGCAGGCAGAAGAGACCCTTGGTCAGAGTGGGCAGCCTTTGAGACCCTGGCAATACCAGCCCCAGTGCCAAGCATCCTCAGGTGCCTGTAGTACATTCTTAGTGTCTTAGTGTTCACAGGCATGCAGTTTAGTGAGTCCAGTGACAGGCACCCGAGAATGTGTGCAGGATTTCAGTCTAAATCTGATGTTATTTACAACGGATGAACAAAAGCAGACCACCCCCCCCCCATCTCACCTTAACAGATGCACAGTGAAGGGCACAGTGCCCTTCAAAGATTAGGGAGAAAGAGCAGCTAGCCAGAGGGGACCGCCACAGAGGAGACCTTGGACCCACGCAGGGGCTGCCCTAGCTGCCTGGCATCTCAGACTTTGCTGGGCCCTGGGATGCAGTGTTCAGCTGCACAGCCTGAATCCGCTCTGTGGGACCCCACAACTGTGGCCTCTGCACACTCCCAGGTTGGGCACTCACGCTTTCTGGCAGCTCTCCTATCCCTGCCCAGATCCAGCCAGATTCTGTCCTGTGGCTCCTCCAGGGGTCCCCACACCCTCATCCCATAGCCTCCGAGGGACCGTGCTGCGCCCTGGCTGTTGTGAGCATCCTGCCCCCCAGGACTGGCTCTGGCTGCCCAGCCTCTGAGTTGGAGTCCTTGAGGCTGAGTTATCTGGGTGCTCCTTGGGCCTCTCCACCCCAGCATGGCTGTGGGGATTGTGTCTTCAGAGGGCCACCTGAGACCTGGGTTCCTGGGCTTGGGGAGGGCTCCCAGAAGGTGCCCAGAGTCTCTTCCCTGGCCCTAGGCCCTGTCCTGGGCTGTACCCACATCGTCCTGGGGCAGCCTGGCCTGGTTGTGCCCTGGGTCCTCGCTGTGACCCCAGCAGTCCACATGTCCAGGAATGACTGTAGGTGGACCCAGGCTCTGCTTTTCTTGGTATGCCTGTAGCGGGGGCAGCAAGGGGCCTGCGTTGCTCCATGCTTGGTGCTGACTGGCCCTTCTGGGGTCTTCTCATCTCCATGCAAGGCCACTGAGAAAGCTCCCTGCCTGGCCCCACGGACCCAACCCCTCACTTGACAGATAAACTAAGGCTCAGACTGAAGCCCTCCGTGGATGAGACTTGAGTGCTCCGGGATCGTCCCTTGCTCAATCATTATTTCTCAACCTCCTGGCAACAAGTGGCTGGCCATGTAAGTGGAATACCACCGTCGAATCATGGCAGCTCCAGGGGGCCACAGGATGCTGGCAGCAGGGTCCCGGAGAGCCATCTGACCAGCAACAAACTTCTCAAAACGTAAAGGGTTGCGTGTTAAGCCTCTGAGATGCTGGAGCTGTTTGTTTGTTATTGCAGGCTGCCCTGGCTCTGCCTGAGACTCGCGAGTGGCTGGTGTCCTGTGCACTGAACATGGCATAAATAACAAATTGCCTCAACTCAACTTACAAAGTTGAGTTTTGCAGTCATTTTCCTGAGCACCAATTGAGTTCCAGGCTTCATGCTGAGAAACTTACAGAGGCTTCATCAGGGCCAATTTTGCCAAGGGGAAATTTTGCCTCACCTGGGACTCACAGTCACCTGCTCCCTTGTGCAGTAGGACAGTCTGTGATGAGACATCCATGGTGTTGTCTTATACTCCAGGTGAAAGAAGGGAGTTTGGGAGGTTCCCTGGAGCAGCCCATGAGGTGAAAATGTCTTCAGCAACACAAGCAAAGGCCTCAGGGCAGGTGACCAGACCTCGTGGGAGGTGTGGCAGCAGCTGGCTCAGAACCGCGGAGGGTGTCCACACAGTAGGGATGTGGCAGGCCCTGGGGAGCCCCTGCACGTGAGCAAGCTGCCTGCTGCAGGAGGCTGAGGAAAAGGGGATTACTTTCCACCCGGGCTCCTGTCCCCCTAGGGTCCCCCTCCTTCTAGGGCTCCCTCCCCTTCTGACATCTCCCCCCGCCACCCCCCTCTACCCTTGTGCCCATCAGGCACATGTTACCACTGTGTAAGTGGAGAGGGAGCTCAGCATCACCAGCAGCCCAGTCTGCCTTGCATGGTCCTGCCTGGATGCTCAGCCTTAAACCCACCCAGGGCCCGTCCCCAAACTGGCAGGAAAAGGTCCCGTGTGGTGCCTTGGGGCAATACTGAGAGTGACCACCAGGGGGCAGGGGAGGGCCAGGAACGATCTGTCCTCCAGCAATAGCAACGTGAGTTCATTTAGTGCTAGGTGTCCTTCAGGCAAGACCCTGGGGCTAATGGCGGAAGGGACTGATGTGGGCAAACAGAAGTTACCAGCATGCTGTGAGGGTTGGGAGGGAGATGATAATAATCAGTTCACCTTGGTCCTGAACTATTGAAGCGCTGGGTGTGCCAGGGCCTGTTTAAGTATCTGGCATATATTATTAGCCCATTCACGCCTCACGACTGCCCTCTGACGAAGGTCCTACAACTGTCTCTGTCTTACCAACGGGGACGCTGAGGTACAGACTCTCACAGCTGGTGGAGCTAGGGTGCAAGTCAAGTCCAGGGAGAACAGTTACAGGGCCCCTGAGCTTATGAGAGACACCCTGCTGCAGACTCCCCAAGATGCAGGAGAAAGAGCTGTGCCAGAGAAGAAAGGAGCAACTGTTCAAAGGCCCTGAGGTGGGGACAAGGTGAAGTCCCATCTCTGAGGATGGCTGGAGTAGAGGATGAGCAGAGGGGAGGAGACAGAAGTCAGGCAGAGCAGCAGTTTTCTTGCCTGACTCTCCGCTCCATCACGGGAGTCTCCCCCTTTCCCAGGCTGCACAGAGACCTTCGAATTCCCCCTCCCCAAACCCCATGTTCCCCTCTGGACCCAGCCCACCCTCCCTCTGTGCACAGCCCTGAACAAGGAGCCCTC